CTTTGGCTACCGACGATATTTTCTCAAAAAAATTATCCCCCCCCCCAAAGCCAACTCTTCGATACCACTGAGTTTGTACGGATTTTTGGAAGAATAACCTGAAAGCTGCAAGCAAAGAACATTCACAATAATGGGTTTATTGTAATCGAAGGCAATATAGCTTTGACTCTGCAGTTCGACAGAGGCGTAGAGAAAACCATGGATATGGGCAAGATACCTAACACAGTTGAGCATCACGTCGAAATAAGTCGAAAACGAAGTTGGCACGGTATCTTTGTGAACCTTATAAGACACAAGACGAGCATACAAAACAGATAAACACTAGCTAGGCACGGGTAGACAGCGACAGCATGCTTGCCACTGGAGTCGGTCTTGTGGAACTTATAGGTACAAGGAGAACCACGTGAATTCCACCTGAAAGAACGCAAAGACCCCCATGAGATTCTGTTTGAATATAGCCGTTTTCATTCCGTGTTGCCACGTCATGGCCTGTTCCCAACGAAAAGTTTGCTAGTGGCAATGTGAAACAAGGAACTACATACTGTTTAATGGAAGTTGGTAGAGTGTACGTTTCCCAACCACCCCAACCAGGTAGGCTCCGGTTGCCGCACTAACGAGTGTGAGTTGTTAGCATACATTCGCTTACAGATCATTTGAGTGTGAACAAGCTGCAGCTAGCTAAATCCTATCACACTACAACGGCACCGGCGATCAAATGTTTAAGGGCAAAAATATTTGTTGACTTTCAAGGTGTGTTTTGGAGGCAAGATGGCTCAGTAATTAGAGCGCGAATGTATTGACTGGAACATCCATGGTTCAGACCCGACCTCGCCCTCCCAACTTCCCCCATGTAGGCTTAAGCAACCTGTATTCAAGCCCTCACGGTTTTTTTGGGTGCCATGGCACATAGGCACCAACAGGGTGCGACTGCTGAATGATATTTAAAGGAACTTCCATTACTTCGCTGTACAGTCTAGTTAAAATACACTTCTTGGACACGACTAAGGCTTGGAACTCCACAGACTTATAACGGAGGACAGGTTTCAAGTAGAGACTGGCTTAAGACTAATTTTGGAACAGCATGGAAAACTGCGGATTTCTGTGACGGATTAGTACTAATTTAGCTTACAACACTGTATTAGGATGGACTTGAAAGTCGATAAAGATGTTGACGCGGGTCCTTTAAAAAAATAGGTCCAACAGGCAATAAATGTCAACATGTGCTATCTGGTTCCTCAAATAACTCATTCAGCTTGCTCTGAAACAAAACAAAACTCTACGACTAAAATAAGCGACACCCAAGGTCATCTGCACTATATTTACATCGAGTAATAAGTCGAAAACAAGTGAATAATTTGTTTGCAAAGTCCTTGAAACGGTCAAAAATTTGAGCGAATTCCCATGACATAGTGCATACTGTGGTATCCGATCCCAGCCACTATATCCAGAGATAGGGCACCCCCACCAGAAGGCCTTTCCAGAGTTGGTCTGTATACGAGTGAGTTATTATGTTTCACTAGAGAATGTATCAGCATTACTAGAGGCAGAAACATCAGCGTTGGCACCACTGCTGTAAACGCTGCGATCAAATACTGGTAATCACTAATAAGAATCATTCATTGTAACACACTTTTGGTGCAAAGCTGCAATGCCGCCCAATGGAAACACATGGGATACTATAATAAGAATCATTCATTGTAACACACTTTTGGTGCAAAGCTGCAATGCCGCCCAATGGAAACACAGGGGCTGGGATACTACCAGGTTGCCCAAGGCTGGAGAGGAGCAGAGATGCCGGGGTTGGGCTCGAAGCGCGGAACTCCCGGTTGGTCGGAGCCTTAGCTAATTAACTCTCTGGACCTCGCTATCGACTACGAAGACACGTTGATTACACAAAGCCAGACTATCGTACCGATTGTGAAAGTAAACAAGCAAGTAAACGAACAAACAGACACTGTATCCAAACACAGAGGGACGCATAAAAAAGTTTGATAGCTAACCTGAATTGTTTTACCGAGCCCCATCTCGTCTGCTAGTATTCCATTCATTCCATTCTCATACAACGTGAGAATCCAGCTGATGCCTTTTCGTTGATAATCTCGAAGTTCGGCACCTTCAATCAATTTCGGATCCTCTTCAGAACCTGTTGAAAGAAAAGCGCGTTATTTGGAACAACACTCGACTCTACCTTCAGCAGTGTCGTTCATTACCCTCTTTTCGATCATTTCAACGTAGACACGGATTTTGGCAAGTACAGAAAGTAACTCGTCAAAATGCGATTCGTCGAATTCACCTACGTCGTCCTCATGGTGGACATTATNAGGAACGTCGGAAGAGCTGAAAATCAATTGTACAGGAGAAATAACAGCAACCAAAAGCCGGTCCAATAATACCACACAAGCTGACTACTCGAAGAATAATTTCGGTGATTAACTGCCCTGCCACCCAAGGGAAGCACGAGGATTGGGATACTGCAAGGTTGCCCAAACCTACATAGAATTTGAGATGCAGAGACCGGGTTTCGAACGACGGACCTTCCGGTCAGTAAATTCACTCTAACCATTGAGAAATCTTCCCCTTTCAATGTGAATTCTTCAGTCAACACTCCACTTTCACGTCACCAAACAACGTTTTGACAATTGTCGCAGAATGCATCCGACTGCATCACTTTACTTCCAAAACCCTCGAGTCTACAAACACTGATTGGCGGACGAAACATGAAAGCGCCGGAAGATAAACACAATAAATCAAACAGAAGACATCAGGGAACACCAAAAAGGGAATCGCACATGACATTGAACCGAGTTCATCACCCAATGACCATGTATAAAAGCTACCAGAAGCATCAGTACAACATAGGGCAGTGGTATGAAACTGGACCCAGCTTAACCAGTGGTTTGGTTGAGATTATGGCTTTTGTGGGTAGTTCTGTTTAATCAACCGTTTCGATCATAAACCGTGCAAAGAATAAAGTGGTCCAAGTTAGTACGATGCCGTCCATCGACAACAAGAAGAGCAATGAATAGCCATACACCGGAGGCGAAGACCTAATCAGTTCGGTGACATCGGATTGTTGTACTGCGATGCTAACGTAGAAAAGAGGATTACTATGCACTGGAAATGATGCCACTGGTGTAGAAGCATCACTGTTCAGCCTGCTGGATCGTCTGCTGGTGTCGGGATTCCGGCCTGGTATTTCAGTTCCACTCATAGACTGTACATCGAAATGCAGCGAGTCCAGCTGCTACAGCCATGTTCGCCGAGGATTCAGAGTATAAGAGACTGAGAACCATGTGCTGGAGCCGACGACCCAGTTACTTCATTGACGCCAGATGTCCAGCGCGGCGAGTATTGAGCTGCGCGATGAAGACGGTAGTTTTAATGCAAAACCGCCATTGACTATGTGACATAAATATATCTTTTAGGGTCGCCAATCATGCGTGTCTCCTCCCGCAGTCCCCAAACAGAGTGACGGTATTTACCAACATGACTGAGTTGACTGGTGAAGACTTTTATATTTCGTGGCCAAGTCATGAACTGACCGGCCCTGGCTCGTCTCCACCCGAAACAAGATTGAGCGAAGGGGTCGCTACGAGACAAACGGACTTTGGCATACGAAGTACATGGCTCGGCTAACGTTGAGTGTAATCAGCTGGAGAGTGTACCTTCCCGAAATTCACATGGTTTAACTCAGCAATCCTGAGCTCAATAGACTTGCTCAAGGCTCTGATCGTGATGAGATTCAGTGTTTATTGAGGTTAGTGAGACCACGAGTATACGGTTCTAAAAACTGAAAGAATGGCTTTATTCACCCTCTCGAATCCTCATCCAATTTACCATTACAACCATCGTACCATAGTTTCCAGAAGACTAAACGTTGTAATCTTGAGCCACGGAGACGTTTGCAAGTGAAGCGAATGGACTGACACGGATTCCTCTCAAGCCGTCTTGCGTGAAACATGCTTGTATTTACGGACAGCTTAACCCAAGGTAAAAATGAGGGACTCATATCGGATGCCATGGTTTTAGACTTCCCAAAAGCACTTGATCGAGTCTCAAGTCCCACTGCTTCATAAATTAGTCTTACAGAATTCAAGGGGGAATTTCGCGCTTACTTTATTTACTTACGTTTACTTATGTCCTGTTTAAGGGTTTGGCCGACAGTGTTTCGCCGTTGACCCAGGTAACAGGGAGGGGCATGGTAAGGCCATTTTCAAGCCCGGAGCGCACACTTTTATCAGACAAAATGTTTTAGCATTTCAGGTAGAAGTTGCGTGGAATAGCCTTTCACTGACGATTGTCCACGCTCCCTCTCGAACCTGGTTCAAAACAATTTTGACACTTTTATATATTTCCTTGCGCCGGTAAGATTTCTGCACTGAGAGCTTAAAGATTCACAGATTTATACACTTAGGCCTTCGCCTAAGTTTCTTGGTTGTGTTCTTGTCGTTAACGTGAAAGACAAGTGGGGAAATGGTGTGGCACTGCTCCCTAAGGTGTCAGCGCGGGGTTGTACACTTGCTATCACGAGGACTCGCATAGGTTTCTAAAATTGCTTTAAACGGGATTCGAGATGGAGCGTGGACAGCTGTCGGAGGAAGGCTCTTCTACGCAGCGACTACCTAACGAAAGTGCGCACACTAATGTTGAAAATCTTTTTACCAGCATTTCTACATATCTTTTTCTTTTGTGCCTTTCATGCGAACGGCAGCCCCTGAAAGACAAGAACGGAACCGACCTGGGAAACTTGGGCGTAAGTCTGGATCCTGTATATAAATCTGTGAATCCGTAAAAGCCTGCCTGTTCCCGAAGGAAAATAAGTGGCTCGCACCCAAACATGACCGAAGATGAGAGCGGGACTTCAGAATGACCGATAATAATGTACCACAATTATCCACTGTGAGCTGATTGTCACGTTGTTTGGAGGCCAGCCGCTCCTAATAAGTAAACAGCACGTCACTTGGATTGAGCGTCACGCGCGGGGCTACGGACCAAACGAATTCATTCCCTGATTGGTCAGGACGTAAGCCAATCTGGATTCAGCATCTTCAGTTCAACGCTTCTCGCCCGCTCACGAGGACTCTGACTCGACCTAGTGGAATGTTCTATGACAAGCCCATGAATGCGTTTGTGATAAACCTCTTCTGTCTCCATCAGGGACTGTCTGAAGCAATAATTCGTTTCGATAATCCACAGTGGGAGTGGCAGGAAGCCAAGGACTCACAAGGAATTCTACCACAATTCAGCAAGTCATATCGACTGAAGCCAAACGGAGTTCACGATAATAAGTTAGGCAGAGTAACTCCAAGTAACTACACAGCAACAAAAGCAGGCGTTCGAAGAAGCTCAAATGAAGTCTGCCGAAGCGCGGAACGTCCGCAATCGGTTCCGTTTTCCCTCGTGAATATTTGTGAAAGATTTTTTCACTGTTCCATCAAAATTCAGAGTTAGCATGCGTCATTTGTGCGCTCTGACATAACCTTTACTTGATCCCTTCTATTATTCTGCTCTCAGTTCCCATCTTGTACCCATTCCCAATCATGACTCAAATCGATACAGGCTGCCCTACGCAGCCATCGGTGGACCAGAGCAAATGTGGATGAAATGGGTGGCCGTCGGATGTAATACATTGTAGGTAAGGCCTTATGGCACTTTAAATATACGTTTTTTTCCAGGACGAACAGGTAAACTAACTAGCTAACTCTCCTGACCGTTTTTCTGCGCCAGCTGCCTCTACCTTAAGAGCGGAATGCATTCCGCAAATAAGAAGAGAACCGCCAAAAACGAAACACAACCCCCATTGTTGTATTAAAAAGACCAGCGTGAGTGTCCAGCTTTAATCGAGATAATGGATGCAAAACCGGTGCTTATTTTTAAAACTTCGGAGGATGCAAACACAAAAAGCACGGCGACCAGGACGACCTAACGAAGAGCTTTCTACGCTGAATGAGTACCTTGCTCTATTCACCCTGGGTCCGATGGCTGCAAAGAAGGTCATCCAGGTTTCTGATGCAGTAATAAGGCTTGCATGGCGCTCCTAGTGGACAGGCGTGCAAGTGCGAGCAGGCTTCTCACGTCAACGAAGCAGACGGTGTTGGTTCCTGGTAGTGTCCTGAAAAAGACTGACCAGGAATAGCTTCACATAGATTCGTTATGGCAGAAGGGAAGCAAACGGACACCCGGGCTTACGGTCACCCTTTACTCCTCCACCTGCTGCACAGCAGATCTTGGAGAAGTCTGTTAGCATTCAAAAGGCCTACTCAGCGACCAGACGTTTATATGAGGATCGCCCTCTAGAGGCGCGTAAGCTGAACCACAGTAGTCCTAGGGGAGAGATGCGCAACGGGCGCTCGCTTGGTGCCAGTTAGCCGACCCCAGAAATATGGCCAATCCTAGTGTAGTAATGGCCCCTTGTGCTCCTCAAAGCTTGATGACGCGGCTGGCCGTGACTTCGGATTACAGTTTCTACTCAACCATCACAGACAGTGACTACCAAAGGCAGCGATGCTATAGAGAAAGCAGGCCTCATGTGGATGCAGCGCCCAAAGTAAGTGGGGCTATCATTGCTTACCTCATTAGCAGATGATAAAGGTGCAGCAGTGAGCTCCACACCCAAGTCAAAATGTCTGTGCTGGATCGGGTCAGGCATGCGTAGACAAGCGGCGAAATCTACCGAAAAATTAACCACATCAGCTGACCTTGACATCGAGGTATGCTGGAAGAACCCTACAACTACTGAAGATGTGAAACCGCCAATCTGCATCTCCACTCCATCAAAAGTGGCCTGTTCGATTGTGGACAAATTCGTCACCCAGAATCACGATAGCTAAAGCCACAAACCCATCCAAAGGAAACCGGAAAATCCCTCGTACACCCAGTTGGTCGCACTGATAGCAGACGACTCGGGAGTCCATACGAACACAGAAGAGAGGCGAGTCCAGCCAAATAAGCCACAAGTGATCCGCCAAACTAAAAACTGCTGGATTGCCTCAAGGTGCAGTCTTCTATAAAAACGAGCGCATTTTGGTACTGCCATCGAACCCTCAGGGTCTCAAAGAGACTTTATCGATCAAACTGCACCAAAATGCTCAAGAAATCAGAAAGACTCATGTTTTCCACAAAACCCCTGAAAAGGCGGTATTA